CCCCCAAACACTTTGAAAAGCATGGAGCTGCAAACTTAAGGTTGATACATGTTATACATCTCACTGTGAATGCATTATATCTCAATGACAGGATTCGAAAGTCTAATTCAAACAGGGCATCCTGGCAGTTAGGCCACATGTGCACATGAGAGTCACTCCAGTTTTCTGTATAAGTTGGAAACTTTGAAGTCCAACAGGTGGCATGACATATTGTCTCTGATAGAATCAGTGACAAATGGCATCAGTGAGGATTCTCTAGGGTCTAGTCTGTGCTGGACTCTGTCTTAAACAATTTTCAGCGCCATGTGGGAAGGCAGCAGTGGGTCCCCATGCCACCCAGCAGTATGGAATCTAGAAAGCATGGTAACAGACCAGACTGACAGAGGTGAGCTGTCGAAGGCCAACCCTGATGGCAGACAGATAAGCACAGAGCCTGGACGTTCTACAAGGACCTTGACTTGAGGGCTTTGGTGACACAGTGAGGATGGGGTCAGTCCCAATAGACCTATAGTTCCGTGGAGAACTCCCTGACCAGGGTTGGCATAGGGACAGATAAATTAGTTCATGCAAGAATGCACTCGTCAGCTGGTCGATGGTGGTGCATGCCTTTAGTCCCATCACTCGGGAGGCAGAGGCAGGCAGATCTCTGTGAGTTCGAGGCCAGCCTTGTCTACATAATGAGTTTCAGGACAGTCAGAGCTGTTACACAGAGAAACCCTGTCTCAGGAAAAAAAATGCACCTGTCACTTGTGCTCGGCTGAGGTCACAGTCCTTGGTGGAGTTCTTGCCACTGTGATCCTAGACTAGATGAAGGGAACCAATAAAATGATCCTAGCACATGCCCTCAGTTGTTGGATGCTAGCTCAGTGAGCCAGTAACCCTCCAGCCTGCAGGGATGTCAGTTAGACCACAGGCAGGCAGAGAGCTTCTGCTTTTAGCAACCAGGCTGAAGCAGCTGGTGTCCTCAGGATGAAGCATTCAAGACTAAGCACAGGGGTGACATGTGGCATCAGTACTCAGCCTATGGAGGGCAGAGTCAGACTGTCCCCATCCAAGGGCACACATCTGGCCTGCCCACTCAGAAGGCCATGGGAACTCCAGATTTACTCCTTCCTTTCAGAGGCTGACAAGGGAGCTGAGAGGCCCCTGGCTGACTTAGCGCCCCTTGTGGTAGCGCTTGTGGACCTGCAGATTCCCACTGCTCTCCTCCCTCTGCTGACTGGCAACTCTGGGCAGTTAGCACTGGTTCCAGTGGGTGGGTATTTAGCTTAGTAGGTAAAACGCTTGCCTAACAAGCAGGAGGCTCTGGATTCGATCCCCGGCACCACATGTGACCAGTGTGGTAAGGCATGTTTGTAATCCCAGTACTTCAGAGGTGGAGGCAGTAGGTCATCTTTAGCTACTTAGGGAGTTTGAGGCTGATCTGAGTACTATGGAAAGAAAAAGCAAGCTCCTTAGTTCAATGAAAGAAATTATGTTCTTGCTCGAAAATGTTGTTATAGGGGCTCACATAAAGCAGGCACTGTGAGAATTTTGTCTGTAAAGGCATAATCCCTGTTCTCTGGGGCAGGGGGTGGCTTGAGTTCTATACACAGAGAGATGTGGAGTAGAGAGAATGCTACTGTGTTCTGGGTTCAGGACAGATGGAGATGGTGGTGAGAATGGAGATGAGTCTTGAATGATAAATGGGCATGTGTGCTTTTCTTGTGACCCCAGGCACAAACTGAGGCTGGACCTTCTAGGCAAGACATGGGGAGGTCAGGGAACAGCTGTTGCAGCCACCCTAGCTCCAAGCCAGTCAGTTTTCCATGCCACAAGCAGAGAGACCAGTAAGGGAGGGCGACAGCCCTGGTTGGTGGGCTGCTTCCTTGTGTATCCTACACATGGCACTGGAATCTTTCTGTGTCCCTTCAGGAGACCACTGTGAAGGTCCTCCTCTTGTCAGTGCTACAAGGGTGACCTATGTGTTGGCCACAGTCACTAACAGCCCAGGAGTGTGAGCCTCAGCTGAGATGTCAGCAGAGAACCCAGAGTGCTGGCTGATAGAGCTTTGGGTCATTTGATAGAGAGCAGAGGTGCACTAGGGCTCTATCTTGCATCCTGGGAACATAGGTTGGCATTGCCAAAGAAGAAAGACCCCGAAGAGTCCCACAATATAACAGGGTTGGTGATCTCCATCTCAGGTGCCTCCTCTGAATTCACGCCCAACCTCTCCAGCTGTCTGCACACATTACCCCTCTCTTCATTCTCACCTCATGTCTCCCAAGTCCTACACCAGTAGGACAGCTCCAGGTTCAGAAAACAAACGTCTCAAGGCACAATTTCTTTCCCGTATTAAAGGTACATTTTCCTGCCTTCTGTGGACTTGAAGCAATCACTGAAGGCAATCAGGTCCGGTAACACAGTCTTCATCTGAATGGGAAGTATATGCTGCTGAAATGCTATCTAGCTGACTGAACTCCAGATGCATGTGTTTTGTGCATGTGCAATGTATTGAAGGCCCTGTGATTGTATCCTTCCCCTTCTCTCTCCAGCAGAGCAGTTAAGGAGGAACTTTGAAAATGATGGTGCTGTTGGGTAAGGACAAAGCAGCAAATATTTATTTACAAATCTGTTACTAGAAATTATCAAGATCTATTTCAGGAGTTGAGCTTTCAAAAATACTCTAAGTGACCAAAGAGAATGCATTGCCCATAATCATTTTCTATCCCCGATGGCTCAGTAATGAAAAGCAGACTCTTCATTGGAAAAGAAAGCAGGGGAAATTAGGAAATAATACATTCAATTGTAGAAGCCCTTTGCCAAGACTGTATTGGTTTCATGTTCCAACAACTTCAGTTAAGCCTCCATGGGGAAACACTTTTGAAGCAGGTCACATCTAAGACATGCATGCTCCCACTGTGTGGGGGTGGATGGGAATGGTTATGTCTCCACCAGGGATGAGCTCCATCTTTTCTTTGTGAATGACCTGTTCATACTGTTTGTGGGAGAGCATGGACTGCAAACGCCCTAACAGGGTCATCACAACCACATTGGGAGAGACTGCCTCTCTCTCTGCTGAACCCACTGTTCCTAGTGTCTTCCTCCAATCCCAGCACCCATCTGCAATGGCAAATTCTTTCATGTAGTCATTAGTTCTGGTCAGGTACTCAGACTTGTGCTAGGTGCTGGGGTCTCACAGTCAGCCAGGGAAGTACTCAGACTTTCTGGGATGGACGTGCCAGCTGGGTGGGAGGGTAGAGAAGAATGCCTAAAACACCAAACACCGAGGGGCCCACATTTGGGGAGAGAAGATGCTGGAGGGCTTCCAGAGGAGGTGAAATTCTTGCAGTCAGGAGGAGGGAGCCGAGGAAGAAGACATTATAGTAGAGAGAATTGCATGTGGAAATATTTGGACCAAGGGTTGAGTGTTTAAGCTCATTCGGTAGAGTGCTTGTCTAGCATTTGTAAGGCACAGAACTGTTCTCCAGCCCCACACAAACCAAGCATGTTGGCACAGGCTTGTAATCCCAGCACTCCAGAGGCAGAGGAAGGATCAGAAATCCAAGGCCATCTTGTGTTACATAGCAACTTTGGGGTTGACCTTGTAGACATGAGACCTTGTCTCAAAAATATGTCTGAAGAAGAGAGGGCTATGTTTGCTGTAGAACTGGACACAGATCTGGTAGAGGGGAAGTGTGCACACAGACATAGGTATGTATGTGCATGTGTGTGTGTGCATCTAAGTTCTAGGATGGCCTGGAACTCATTGTGTGGCCAAGCCTGTCCTCAAACTTATAGCAATCTCCCCTCCTGCTTCTTTATCTGAGATTACAGGTATGAGACACCAGATTTGAGTTCACATTTGTGGAGTACACTATAACACGAATAATAAAAACCCAGAGACTGATATTGGAGTTCAGGCTGATGATCAGAAAATCAAAGCACCCAAGCCACTAGCTCTTACCTCTGCCAAGCTGAAATGGCAATCCCGTCTCTATGAATCCTTAGAGGCAAATGTTCTCCAAAATCCTCAGAGACAAATGCCCTGAGTTTCTGTCTCCTCCTCCTATACTCCTTTCTCTGCTCAACCATATCACTCCTGTCTCCACCTCCCTAGTGCTGGGATTAAAGACTTGTGATCTCAAATGCTGGGATTAAAGGCATTAGCTGTTATTCTTTTGGTTTTTTTCTTTTGCTGTTGTTGTTTGTTTTGTTTTTAACTTTTTTATTACTTTAATTTTAAATAGCTTGCTTCACATGTCAATCCCAGTTCCCTCTCCCTCCCCTCCTCCTGTACCCCCACCACCACCCCCAGCCTTCCACCCTATCCCCACTTCCTTCCACATAGGGGATATCCAGAGTCTGTCATTTCAGGCTGTCCAGGCTGAGAGAGCATCCCTCTTTGTGTTATGGACACATGAAGTCCATTTGTATTCCAGGGATAAACACTGATCTACTGCCCAGGGCCCCATAGGGAGTCCACTCAGGGGGTCTGGATCAGTCCCATGCTGGCCTCTTAGCTGTCGGTCTGGGGTCCAAGAGCTCCCCCTTGTTCAGATTAGCTGTCTCTGCTGGTTTCGCCAGCCCGATCTTTGCCAATTTGCTCATCGCTCCTCTCTCTGTATCACTGGGTTCCATAATTTCAGTTCAGTGCTTAACTGTGGGTGTCTGCCTCTGCTTCCATCAGACACTGGATGAAGGCTCTAGGATGGCATATAGGGTAGACGTCAAGTTCATTATCAGGAATGGGATTTAAGGTGGTCTCTCCACTATTGCTTAGCTTGCTAATTGGTGTCATCCCTGTTAAGAGAAGCTTTTTCTTTGCTAGCCGCTTTGGTTTATCCCTCGCCAGTCGCCTGGGCTCTGCCGCGCCAGCCTGGTTCTAGATCCGCATGAGTCCCAAATAAACACACAGGAGGCTATATTAATTATGAAGCTGTTGGCCTTGCTTGTCCCTTATTGGCTAGCTCTGCCTTAAGTAATTACCCCATAATTGTTAATCTAAGTATGTTTCTTACCGGAGAATAGTTCTGGGCTCCTACCCCCATGGCGGTTACATGTTGACTCTCTTGTGTTTCCCCTTCCCAGAATCCTCCTCGACTCCTAGTCCCTCCTATCTAGGTTTTCTATTGGCCAGACAGTACTTTATTGACAAATGCACAGGCAAATAACAGGACTTCCCCAACACATCCCTTTAGATCACTAGAGGTCTCACTGGTGCCAGATCTCTCTTCTAACTTATGACTCCCTCTATTATGGTATTTCTCATCCTGTTCTCTCCCTATTCTACCCCCCCACTCAACCTTCGTTTCCCCCATGACCTACTCTCTCCTCCTTTTCTCCCCTCTCTTCTTCCCAGATCCCACTCCCCCTCACCTCCACGCTGTGTTCCCAATCTGTTCAGGAGATCTTGCTTTATTCCTCTTCTCTGGGGTACCATTCATATCTCTCTTAAGTTCTTTCCTGTTTCCCAGACTTGCTGTCAGTGGAAGTGCAGACTGGCACTATCCTAATGCATGTCTAAAATCCATATATGAGTGAGTACATACCATGTTTGTCTTTTTGTGACTGGGTTACCTCACTCAGGATGGTTTCTTCTAGTGTCATCCATTTACCTGTGAATTTCAACATTCCATTGCTTTTTGCTGCTGAGTAGTACTCCATTGTGTAAATGTACCACATTTTCTCTATGCACTCTTCAGTTGAGGGGCATCTAGGTTGCTTCCAGGTTCTGACTATTACAAATAATGCTGCTATGAACACGGTGGAACAGATGTCCTTGTCGTATGAATCTACATCTTTTGGATATATGCCTAAGAGTGGAGTTGCTGGGTCTTGTGGTAGATTAATTCCCATTTTTCTGAGGAAACTCCATACTGATTTCCAAAGTGGGTGTGTGAGTTGGCACTCCCACCAGCAGTGGAGGAGTGTTCCCCTCTCTCCACATCCTCTCCAGCATAAATTGTCTTTGGTGTTTTTGATTTTAGCCATTCTGACAGGAGTAAGATGGTATCTCAGAGTTGTTTTGATTTGCATTTCCCTGATGGCTAGGAATGTTGAGCATTTTCTCAAGTGCCTCTCAGCCATTTTAGACTACTCTATTGAGAATAATCTATTTAGTTCTGTACCCCACTTTTTAATTGGATCCTTTGGTGTTTTGGAGACTTGCTTCTTGAGTTCTTTGTAAATTTTGGAGATCTGTCAGATGTGGGGTTAGTGAATATCTTTTCCCATTCTGTGGACTGCCTTTTTGTCTTGTTGACTGTGTCCTTTGCCTTACAGAAGCTTCTTAGTTTCAAGAAGTTCCATTTGTTAATTGTCGATCTCAGTGTCTGTGCTAGTGGTGTTATGTTCAGGAAGCGGTCTCCTGTCCGAATTCGTTGAAGAGTATCTCCCACTTTCTCTTCTAAGGGGTTCAGTGTGGTTGGATTTATGTTGAGGTCTTTGATCCATTTAGACTTAAGTTTTGTGCAAGGTGATAGGCATGGATCTATCTGCAGTCTTCTGCATGCCAATATCCAGTTATGCCAGCACCATTTGTTGAAGATGCTTTCTTTTTTCCATTGTATAATTTTAGCTTCTTTGTCAACAAGTGTTCATAGGTGTGTGGGTTAAAATCAGGGTTTTCAATTTGGTTCCATTGGTCTACTTGCCTATTTTTTGTGCCAATACCAAGCTGTTTTCAGGACTGTATCTCTGTAATAGAGCTTGAAGTCAGGTATGGTGATGCCTCCTGAAGTTCCTTTATTGTATAGGGTTGTTTTGGCTATCCTGGGTCTTTTGTTTTTCCATATAAAGTTGATTATTGTTCCTTCAAGGTCTGTGAAGAATTTTGATAGGGATTGCTTTGAATCTGTAGACTGCTTTTGGCAAGATTGCAATTTTTATTATGTTGATCCTACCAATCCAAGAGCATGGGAGATCTTTCCATTTTCTGGTCCTCTTTGATTTCTTTCTTTAGAGACTAAAAGTTCTTGATATACAGGTCTTTCACTTCTTTGGTTAACATTATCCCCAGCTATTCGATGCTGTTTATGGCTATTGTGAAGGGTGATGTTTCTCTGATTTCTTTCTCAGCCACTTCATCATCTGTATATAATAGGGCCACTGATTTTTTTGAGTTAGCTTTGTATCCTGCCACTTTGCTGAAGGTGTTTATCACCTCTAGGAGTTCCCTTGTGGAGTTTTTCGGGTCACTTATGTAAACTATCATATCATCTGAAAATAGTGAAAGCTTGACTTCTTTTCCTATTTATATCCCCTTGATCTCCTTTTGTTGTCTTATTGCTCTAGCTAGAACTTCAAGTATAATATTGAAGAGATATGGAGAGAGTGGAAAGCCTTGTCTTGTTCCTGATTTTAGAGGAATTGTGTTGAGTTTCTCTCCATTTGGTTTGATGTTAGCTGTTGGTTTACTGTATTTTGCTTTTATTATGTTCAGATATGTTCCTGTTATCCCTGATCTCTCTAGGACCTTTATCATGAAGGGGTGCTGGATTTTGTCACAGGCTTTTTCAGCATCTAGTGAGATGATCATATGGTTTTTCTTTCGCAGTTTGCTTATATGGTGGATTACATTGATAGATTTTCTAATGTTGAACCATCCCTGCATTCCTGGGATGAAGCCTAATTGATCATGGTGGATGATTTTTCTGATGTGTTCTTGAATCCTATTTGCTAGTATTTTATTATTTTTGCATCCATGTTCATGAGGGAAATTGGTCCATAGTTCTCTTTCTTAGTTGTGTCTTTGTGTGGTTTGGATACCAAGGTAATTGTAACCTCATAAAAAGAGTTTGGCAGTGAGCCTCCTGCTTCTATCATGTGGAATACTTTGAGGAGTATGGAAATTAGGTCTTCTTCTTTTTATATTAATTTCTTTTATTTTTATGTTTAAGTTTAGATTAGAAACATAGTTGGTTCACAAGTCAGTTCCAGGTCCCTCTCCCTTTCCCTCCCCTCCTCCTGTGCCCTCCCCCCAACTCCCCCATTATCCCCTCATTTTCCCAGGGAGGGTGAGGCCCTCCATGGGGGTGTCCATAGTCTGTCATTTCATCCAGGGCAGGGGCTAGACCCTCCCCACAAGAGTTCAGGGTGAGAGTTCATCTCACATTGTTGGATGGGAGTCCAAAGTCCATGTGTATACTCGGGATGTATACTGATCTACTGCCCAAGGCTCAATAGATTACCTAGGCCTCCTCACTGACACCCCCATTCAGGGAGTCTTGATCAGTCTCATGTTGGATTCCCAGGCATCAGCCTGGGATTCAAGAGTTAACCCTTGTCAGGTCAGCTGTTTCTGGGGTTAAACCAACCCAGTCTTAACTCCTTTGGTCATTAGTCCTCCCTCTCTGTTACTGGCTTTCTTGAGTTTAGCTCAGTACTTAGCCTTGGGAGTCTGCCTCTTCTTCCATCAGCCACTAAATGAAGTTTCTGTTTCCCAGACTCTCTGGCCATGGGATTGTAGGCTGGCACTCCCCAGATCTATGTCTAAAATCCATATATGAGAGAGTACATGCCATGCTTCTCTTTTTGTGACTGTGTTACCTCACTCAGGATGGTTTCTTCTAGTGTCATCCATTTGCCTGCAAATCTCAGGATTCCGTTGTTTTTTCTGCTGAATAGTAATCCATTGTGTAAATGTACCACATTTTCTCTATCCACTCTTCAGTTGAGGGGCATCTAGGTTGCTTCCAAGTTCTGGCTATTACAAATAATGCTGCTATGAACATAGTGGAACAGACATCCTTGTTGTATGAATGGGCATCTTTTGGATATATGCCTAATAGTGGAGTTGCTGGGTCTTGTGGTAGGTTTATTCCCATTTTCTGAGGAATCTCCATACTGATTTTCAAAGTGGCTGAACAAGTTGGCACTACCACCAGCAATGGAGGAGTGTTCCCCTTTCACCACATCCTCTCCAGCATAAATTGTCATTGGTGTTTTTGATTTTAGCCATTCTGACAGGAGTGAGATGGTATCTCAGAGTTGTTTTGATTTGCATTTCCCTGATGGCTAGGAATGTTGAGCACTTTCTCAAGTGCCTCTCAGCCATTTTAGACTCCTCTATTGAAAATTCTCTATTTAGTTCTGCAGCCCACTTTTTAATCGTATTCTTTGGTGTTTTTGGAGACTTGCTTCTTGAGTTCTTTGTAAATTTTGGAGATCTGTCAGATGTGGGGTTAGTGAATATCTTTTCCCATTCTGTGGGCTGCCTGTTTGTCTTGTTGACTGTGTCCTTTGCCTTACAGAAGCTTCTTAGTTTCAGGAAGTCCCATTTATTAATTGTTGATCTCACTGTGTCTGTGCTAGTGGTGTTATGTTCAAGAAACTGTCTCCTGTACCAATTCGTTCAAGGGTACCACCCACTTTCTCTTCTAAGAGGTTCAGTGTGGCTGGATTTATGTTGAGGTCTTTGATCCATTTGGACTTAAGTTTTGTGCATGGCGATAGGCATGGATCTATCCGCAGTCTTCTGCATGCCAGCCTCCAGTTATGCCAGCACCATTTGTTGAAGATGCTTTCTTAATTCCATTGTGTATTTTTAGCTTCTTTGTCAAAGATCAGATGTTCATACGTGTGTGGGTTAATGTCAGGGTTTTCAATTCGATTCCATTGGTCTACCTGTCTATTTTTGTGCCAATACCAAGCTGTTTTCAGGACTATAGCTCTATAATAAAGCTTGAAGTCAGGGATGGTGATGCCTCCAGACGTTGCCTTGTTGAACAGGGTAGTTTTGGCTATCCTGGGTCTTTTGTTTTTCCATACAAAATTGATTATTGTTCTTTCAAGGTCTGTGAAGAATTGTGCTGGGATTTTAATGGGGATTGCATTGAATCTGTAGATTGCTTTTGGCAGGATTGCCATTTTTACTACATTGATCCTACCTATCCAAGAGCATGGGAGCTAGATCTTCTTTGAATTTCTGGAAGAATTCTGCACTGAAGCCATCCGGGCCTGGGCTGTTTTTGGTTGGGAAACTTTTGATGACTGCTTCTCTTTCATTAAGGGTTATAGGTCTGTTTAGATTGTTTATCTGTTCTTGATTTAGTTTTGGCA